AAAAATGCCACGAGGTCCACATTCGTAGGAGGCCGGCTAGGTACAGGGTCGCGCCCTGTACACAGCATACTTAAGCAGTCGTCGAAATGCTGAACAACTGCAGCGTTCATCAAGGTCTATCAACCGATTTCTGCATGATCCAGGCTACTGCGGGAGAAAAAAAAGAGTTTAGAGGCTTTAAAGGCCGAAGAAGCTAACTCCACTCGTACGATTAGATGCCTCGTTTCTGAGTCGGCTACCAGCATCAGTTGCGCTCGAGCCACCTTACCGGGTTTTTTGTCCGGAATGACGATAAGGAGGACAACAACAACATAATTGACTGTGGTCTTCGCCCAGCTCTTCCACTTACCGACGCCTATAAGGAAGCCCGGCTCCAGTGCCCGAAAGAACATGGCAACAGATTGATTGAAGACACGCGACCTTCTCATAAAGCTCTCTGAGTTGAAATTTCCTGCTTAGGTCATATTTTCTGACGAGAAATTGTTCAACTTGGATGGCTAAGATGGGAGTGCGTTCTACCTGAGAGACCTCCGCAAGGAACTAGAGTGCCTCAGTAGACGTGATTTCGGTGGAGGTAGCGTGATAGTTTGGTAGGATTCCTTCGGAACTGTAAGCTTGAGATCACCTCCACCTCCATTCATGTAGACTCGCCAGACTACTAGGAAGTGCTACGTCGTCATCTATTACATTTTTTGGCTCGTCCCGAAGAAGGAGAATTTGTTTTCCAACAAGACAACGTGGCGACCCTCGAGAGCAGGTCCCCAAATCATGTTTAGGTATGCGAGATATCGTCGCCATGGACTATCCTGATACTTATTCACAGAAAGTATCTGAGGCATCTTTGTCGGAGATGTTTACCGCCAGGGAACAACTTCTGGAGTGAGAGATCTCAAGATGGCAATTGGGTAGCATTGCGTTGTTTGCGATATGGCAACTTGACTGTATTAGATTATTGAATCAATGCAAAATCGAATTTTTGAAATCACTTCTAAACATGGAGGAACAATTAATTATCAGTAGTGTTTATTGTTTGTTTAATATCAAATGTATTAGATTTCCAGGTGCGCCTATTACTTTTGATAACAAGCCTAAACAATCATTCAACCTAATTGAAAGAATGACCGAATTCTTTTCCATTTCACGTGGAATGCTTGAAGCATATGTTTTCCGCATGCTGATTACGGGTGGTGATAGCCAGATGACAAGGACTCAGATTGGCAGCGCGGCTAGAGTATTTAGTCGGGGTGCGTCTATATTATGATACGCACTGTATCCGAAGAAATCATAGCGGCAAGGTCGATCTAATAGTGCCATGAAAGGAAATTGCAAGCGAACAGAGACAGAGAGGATCCGTAAGAGCAGCCCATTATAGTAGGCAACGCGTAACGATTGACTCGAAAAGATATGGCCATACTGTGTGAGCAAGGGCCAAAAACATTATCCACCTTATTTTGTTCCCATCTGTTAGTCGAATCTACCAGTCGAAACAGTGAACGTACCTTTGTGTATTTGTAAAACATTTCAATAAACTTCTCAAAGCGTCCACTACATATTCAAAGTAAATACGATAAGAATATAGGAGAAATGTTAAACTTATTTGTAACTCATTTTACTTAGACCTTTTCAACACAACTTCGTTAGGTTATGGTTGTGAGGCTTCAAAAAATCAGTCAAAGGGCAGCAAAAACGCTCTACAGGTGAAGATCATTTTGAATGAAAAGCTTATCACCTGCACTTGCTATTCTTTTCAGTATTTTAGAATGCAGGCGATTGTATTGGTGTTGAGAGAATTGGTTTTTGATGGTTATGTCATATCCAGTTGGACCCGGAATGGGCTGCAAATGAGGGTGACCAGAAAAAATGCGAAATGGTGTATACCCTGCTGCAGTACAAGTGGGCTGACTGCAGAAAAAACTGCTGTTCACTGATTAAGCCCAGGGTCAACGTCTGTTCAACTGTTTCGAACGAATGCGTCGCAGTTTTCAGCGGAAGGGGTCGCAATTTCGAGGACTGCAGCCACAGATGCGCCGTCGTTGGCGTTATCCGAGGCAAAGAATTGTTTGTGCAGACCGACATTAGAATTCGATTAATTATGCACAAAGAGAAGTTATTGGGCAAATACGGTGTTCCTGCAGGATTAGAGAACAATTGATATCATCTCCATGAAAAGTTGACTTTCTGTGGTAATTGAACTTGTTCGGAACCTACTTTTCTAACGGAAGGTTCTTCTCAAATCGTGAAACCACAGAAGAAAAAAGAACTCGCGTCTTCAAAAATGTCTTCGCCTCTTCAACATGTCTTTGAAGGAAGTTATTATTGCTGAAAAGCTCAAAACTCGCATGTGTGCTAAAAACCTATTGGGATCAAAAGTTCAAAGTCGATTTTCTCCGACAAAATGAACTTTGAAAAATGGTTCTAGGGTTGTTTAGAAGAGCAAATTCTGCTTTTTCACCCATGGAAAGAGAGGAAAACGCAGCATCAAAATGCAAGGAGTATGCTCGTATGAAGCCTCAAAAAACTCCGCGATTCAAAGAATGCTGTCGGCAAAACCCGAATTTCGAACGTGGGGATTTTCTCGAAAAATGAACTTGAAAAATATTTAGGGCTTATTATAAAGAGCAAAACCTGCTCTTCAACCCATGAAATAGGAAACACAATGCAATCAAAATGAAGTGCAGTTATCAGTCGCTAAAGCCTTAAAAACTCGTGTATAGTTGCAGGGAAAACTGGTCGAAACTGGGCAAATTTTTGAAAAGGGACAATCACTGAAGTTTTTATTAACTTTTGTTAGAGAAATATTTGAAGTTTCTAGAAACTTTCACAAATTTTCAAAAGATGTCGCTATACGAGAAGATTTTATGAGCTCTCAAAATTGGAGTGCGCCTTCTCAAATTTGAGCTGTAACGCTTCTGACAGAAATACTTTCGGGAAGCGGGGGGGGGCCGGGGGGGGGGGGGGGGGGGTATAGGTCATCCTTGCAATTTTCTGTAAACCACCTCAGCCACAGTTAACCTCCTCACATAAGTGAAACAAATACGTCAAAGAAGCTTACACATCTCTAAAACTTTGCTTCGCCGCGTCCCGTTTCCAGCCGTCCGGTGATACCGCCCGCGGTCAAGGTCTGACCCCGCAACGCAAACGCTTCTGGCAGCAGTTTCTAGCAATCTATGTTCAGTCCTACTCTCTTAATCCCTTCCTTCTTTTTCAGCTGTTGAGCAAAGTTACGTCAGTCTTCATTGTGACTTGTTGGATATCCCTCCATTTGCGTCTTAACATTTCGCTTTCATCCTCATTTGGCTGATTGGATGAACAATTTTGATCTCGCGACGGCTAACCATAATAAAATGTTTCATTAGCAGTGCCCTGTATAGCTTGCTCCTTTGGGCTATCTTAGGAGAAATGCATATGATGGGAAGAACGTAAACTCTCTTTGTAGTTACTCCCGTGACTGCTTTGTGTTCTTTCCGGAAGCATGAGTTTGAAGTTTTGGGCAAATCATGAAAAAAATATTGAATTTTTCAGAAATCAATGATTTTTTGAAGAACAATTCAAGTTCAAATTTCAAGTGAATATCTCAATATTCCAAATGTTCTGTTCATATTGCATGGAAGTTATTGTCCATTTCGAAAACAATGAACTTACGAACTACGAACACAACATTTGAATATCGAATTCTTTACTGAACATTTGAATTGATAATTTTATTCAAAAAAATCATTGAATGTTTTAAAAAAAAATCTCATATGATTTTTTGAAAAGAATTCAATTCAAATGGCATCGTGAAGGATTCAATATTCAAATGTTTTGTTCTAGTTCATGGACAGTTCATTGTCGTTTAAAAGGTTTTAGTTCACTGTTTGAGCAAAATGAAGTGAAAGAAATATTTCACTTCAATTTAGTCCACATTCGGCATTCATTACCTAGAGGGGTTCGCCAAATGGACCCCCGTGAATAAGGGCAGTGACCCCTGAGAAAAGCGGTCGCCAAAACATGAAAAATGTCGAACGTGACGGTTGACCCTGCTTGAAACATGTCTGAACTCGAAGCACTCCCAACAGGGGTTTCCTCAATTTTCTGATGGTGCACTCGTTGCAACCTTAGAGATCGAAACAGTTGACGACGAAAACAATGCTCCTGAAGAATAGAACATTTAATGCATTTAGAAGCTGCGGGATGGTGCCTACTCCAGGAAGCAAACGAGGTCCGATCTCTCACCATTTATACTTTTGACCTTCAACGCTAGACACGGCCGCGGCGTAAATGGGCTGAGCAAAAATCATTAAAAAAATAGATTTCTCTGCCACCTTCGTTTGGCACAGGTACATGTCTGGTAATCTACCCGAGCCTATCGGCGCAATTCTCAAAGGCAAAATCGTTTGGAGAACCGGAGTATGTCGAAATCTCCTTCCGACAGCTTTGAGCCTTCTATTAATTCAAATTTTCCCAGAATGAGAGATGTTTTCATGGAGATGATTGGTAACAACATAGCGAATATGAAGGTTTTATTCCGATTCGAAAGTTGTGTTTTAGCAAAGCTGTGCGCATGTAAGGGGCATGACAGGCGGATACCTTGGACAGGCATATTATCTGCTTTTGTCTCATTCAGAACCCTTATCAGAATCAAGGCTTTTGCCGGCTCTCAGCGATTTTCAGACGTATAAGCTGCGCAAATTTGAACCATCCGCCTACTATATGAACCGATAAGTAATTGGTCGGTTTGTATGTATGTATGCATGTCTGTCTGTGCGTCCGCAACATGACATGATAAGGAAGCTCATCGAATAAACAATTCGCTAGCGAAATCGGGTAGTTCGCGAGATGCCTCAGAGCAGGGATGCCTTAGCTTTCTGTTGTGTGACTGGAGCTTCGCTTCAACATATACATATCACACTGATTGTGACTGCACATTAACACATATATCCCAATAATTACAGGTTAAAGTGTTCGTTGAAGGAACGCTCAAAAAAGGTGTGCAGGGACTTATAGCTGAATTCAAATCGATGAAACGAGTGAACGACTTCACTAAGATGACCGAGTTTGTGGCACAAATCCCTCAGGGAAGAAATCGATACAAGGTACTGCTCTCAAACTAGGTAATATTGAGGTTCATGAAGTTTTCAATGTCTGCGGACTAGCTAATGGTTGACTTCTCGAGTATTCGATCCAAAATAAATCACAATCACACTAACGCAAGCTAATTCTTTGCGATGATAGTTCTGCTCCAATAAAAAGCGAAGTTGCTTCAAATTCACCATTCAGATGCGTCAAATGTTCAAAATCAATTGCGAAACACAATTTGCAATGTAATAGCTCAAAATCGAGAATGATAGAAAGTATGATACCCTTCTTTTATATAGAGCGCTTAGTTGGTGTGTCGGTTTGTCTGTCTGTCCCTCCCAATGAAGTGTGTGGGAAAGCAGCTAATGGAATAAAGAAGCCCCTAAGGCCGACGTCATACTTAGTGATTCGATTAGCGATTCGCTCGATCGGCGATATGAACACCTACTTAGCACACTTTCGGTCATTCCACAAGGTGCTGCAGTGGCAGCTGAGAGCAGTGAAGGGAAGAGGGAGGATAAGGAGTACAGGAGAATTGCAAAGCTTACGCAGGGAAGGGAGGTTCCGGCAGTCGCCGCTGAACCAATTTGGTTTTACAAAGATGGCGCTTCAAAGGTTTAAAAAAAATTTGTTCACTTTTTCGATGTGATTCGTAATTCTTGATGAGTGTCTGTTTTTGTTCAATAAGGACGAAAGGAACAAGAAAGCAGCTTTGTGTTTGTAAGCAATACGAAAAACTGAGAGCTGTTACGCAATCTGATTTCCGCCCTCTATCTGTCACAAATGTTGGCAGCGGGAGCGTTTTCACTTGCCTCTTAGGAAGCCTTAGTTAAGAACTCATTTTGGCTTTCTCCACTTTGACAATAACATTTTCTACTGCATCCTATTCTTCCGATTGTTGTTCTCTATTCTCAATGCGTCGCCTAATACGTGGCTGCCCTAAGACGCACTTTCCATGCCTTCCCTTATCATCATCTTACCTAACTGCCACCATCTCCAGAGCAAGGTTTTTTGTAGGTCTGATTCTCTCCAGAGACTAAATATTCTTCTATGAAACTCGGCACATTGTCTCCTTGTCGAGTAATCGAGCTAACATTGTGGTTATGGGGGATGAATGGGTTTTGATTCCTTTGATATTTAGTTTGTTCCTCAGCACTTGTCTAATTTTTGCACGAATTAATGTAAGGAAGATTTATTGTTCCTCCTGCGAGGTGATCAACTTTGATATGAATGAAAGTGGTTTGATTTGGCGGAAGAGCTCTCGCGAAGATTTTTCAGCGTAATAAAACGAAGGAATTCACGAAAAAACTTCTTCCACTCTAAACTTTCGAAAAGTGCTCGGCTGATATCGTCTCCCAATATCTCAAAGGCACGGATCGGGATCGAATTGATCTAGTCAAGATTAAGAATGATGGAAGGGCGCAAATTTTTTTGGAAGTGAGAGATCCAACGCTGAGTCCCTAGCGTCTTACCATTGATGACGTCCTTAGGTGCGGAGTGGAACTACCACTGTAATGGTGAGCCCAGCACCTCTGTCCAGAGGGGCCTTTGGTTGGGCCCACCCTTGCCTTGAAATAATGAATGATTTTCGGCTTCCTTTCTATTTGAATGAGAGTGCTGTTTAGTACTGGTCAAGTTTCAGCGGGTATATTGTAAAACGTCGCAAGATAAGATAAGTCGGTCTTGAGCTTCAGAAGCAGGAAAGCATGACTGGTCTCTGTATACTAATGTTCGTGCGGGTCAAAGGCGACCACAAAAAGTTCTGCTGCGACAAGTCTATCTTCTGCCTGCTTGTAGATGTAAAGGTGAACGTAGTAAATTACCAGAAGATCGATCTTAAACTCCCACAAGTACATAGATAGGATGAAATAGCGTCGCAGATGATGGTATCATAGATTTTCTAGCGATTTTTCATTTTTGGTGTTTACTGAAACGTGGATGACCATAAACAAAGATATTCCGAAGGCTGTGATAGTCTCTTCTGGCAGTCAGAGTATGCTGAATAACTACTTTCCATCACAACTATGATCCGATGAGTGCCTCCATCTCCTTGGCGACTTTTCAAACTCGGACAAGTTATTTCATGAAGGGACTAAGGCAAAATCTGAATTGTTACGTACTTTCTTGCGCAGTAAGAACAAAGGCATTGTACTCTCCAAATTCTAGTGAAGAATTCCAGCACTGTTTCAAACGATGCTTACGGTTTTGCTTTCGACTCCGAAGCTCGAAAATGATATTCTGCCGTCAACGAGATGTATGACCATTCTAGAAATTACTAATCCTTATATGTGTTTGAGTGTTAGTGTGATGAATTCCTTTCGGTATTGTGAAGTTTTCAAATATTTGACGGTCCCTTACTAGAAAAATGTCTTTCCCGAATAAGGTTCTGCTTTCAAAGCTAATGTTGTTCACCATGTTTCCAACTTGTTTTTCTATGATTGTATCCTATGATTACAAGACAATATTGTTCTTTGCTGGCCTCGTTGGCTTGAAAATGGAAAGTTTTTGAAGGTTTGGCAGCTACGTAAGAAGCCTGACCTTGGCTGTAATTTACCCTAATTTCGCCAACAAATCACATTTTGAAGTGGACAACGCAATAAGGCGTTTTTCCGTTCAATGACTTTTTGAATGATAGGATGTCGGATGTCTCGACAACGACCGTGTTGTCCTAAAGATCGGGCCGGTTTCGTATATTCATGCAAACTACGTGTCAACACCAGTGAATCCCAAGCGCTTCATATGCACGCAGGTAGTTTTTTAACATGGAATTGTTTACTGTTGTTAAAATTGATTTTACAGAATGCTAGAGGTACTTTCATTAAAAGCTTGTAAGACACCAAATGTTCCTGAATTTGACATGCTGGAGAGTAACACAGAGCGTGTCGTAGATATCAGAGGCCGGGTGCAGCAAGCCCCAACTAGGGGATGAGGACCCATCCCCTCATCCAACTGGGGGATATGTCCCCAAGTTGGGGATATGTTCCCAAGGTTGGGGATATGTTCCCACCTTGGGGATATATCCCTTCCTCCGACACTCATCAAGAGACCGTTCAAGGGTTACGTCACAGGACCCATCATTTTTCGACGGGTCCTATGACGCCACCGTCTCTGCCGACAGGGGATATACCTCCTAGTCTCGGCTAGGGGGATATATCCCTTAAACGGTCCCTTGCTGAGTGTCGGATGAGCGGATATATCCCCAATCTTGGGATCATATCCCCTAGTTGGGTAAGGGTATTCATCCCCTAGGTGGGTGAGGGGATGAGTCCCCATCCCCTAGTTGGGGCTTGCTGCACCCGGTCCCAGATTCCACACTCATCAACCGTTCATTTATCTGTCTTTTTAAAGTGCCGTTCTTGTTCAGAAATCTCTGTGAAATGTCAAAAGAAACGATCGATGAGATATTTGTGCTGTAAATACAGTAGATGCCGAAGAAAAACAACTTATTCCATTCCAAAACATCTAGGCAACCCATACCGTGATTGTGAAAGGGCGCTCAGTCTCTGTGGAAGGATTGGATCTGGTCCGGCGTTCGGTAAGACCAGTCGCCCTGCCTGCAGCTGCTGTACCGATAAGACAAAGATGAAATAACTTTTAACGGGATCTCGATGGATAGTGTACCATTACGACGCTCCCTGGTTCCAGAGTGGGGGTTACTATCAAGAGTTAATGTCTCAAACCATCCAACAACGATTCAAGGAATTAGGTAGGAGCTGTGGGCTGAGCAGTTACTGTAGCTCTCCTTGAGCTCGACGACGATGGGAAATGAGGTCATATTCTTGAGACGGTCAGGGCAGTGAAGGGGAGCGTGTGTATGCTTATAGACCGACACTTGAGGAATATCTTGCTCGAGACCTTCCATCAGCGACGGCAACCTCTGCGACGAGAAAATCGCGAAGTGCGAAATGGGCAAAATGTCTTGTTTTATGGTTTCCTCCCCTGTACATATATTCCCTCTGCTTCCGAAAAACAAACGCGCGTTGAGTGCAGACCACACACCACAAGTGGCGATGAGCTGCACAAAACGTAATATTTTCTGCCAATGAAATGATTCGCCGATTGCAGTTGTATTCTATTAGGTGTCACTATTTACTACTATGACTGAGCAACTGCCCCTGTCACTATAAATAACTAGTAACCAAGGCCATCGTCTTTGCGACCTGTGGTCAGCACTCGACGCGCATCTGGTTTTCGGAAGCGGAGGTTATGTACATATCACTTGAATGTTTTTTTTTGAGCTTGAAGCTCGAACACGTGCAGAAATAATCCTCGATATTACATAGGTGAGCTGGGTTCAAAATCGAATGCTGCTAAAATCGCTCGCTCAACTCGTAAATCATGAGGTGAGGGCCCGGTCAGAGAGACGACGGTTAGATGGGTTCGATCAACACTAATACGGCACCGAAGATTTGATCCAATAGCGAGGAGTTGACCAGCGCAAGACATCGGCGACAAGCTATCTAAAAAAAAGTCACTCAGTTCCTGCCCAAGCCCATTCTGATAAAAATTTGCAAACATTAGATATTGGGAGACTGCGTGATTTGAAATGATCTCAAAAACGCCAATAACATTCAACAAAACCCGAAAAGCTATAGGGCAAAATAAATGAAAATTTTCGGTCAATCTCACCAGGATAAATTCGCTAGGGAGTGTGAATAGTTCCGCAAATCTTCTTCATCGTTACTTCGACACCGCTCATTTAGGCACCATTACCAAAAACGTGTCCAGATTTTTGGTATATGGTGGTGCAAGAAAAGTCCGTTGCTATCCTCATGTTGTGCAACTTTGTTGAACAGGTGAGTTTTGCAATCACAGTGCATGAGCTGTTATTCTTATGACTCATGCTCGAGAGCGACAGAGAGAGCGAATTGTTGTTGAAAGTTTTCGAGCGATAGCTTCATTTTAGTTTTTTTTTTATGCCAACACTAGTGTGATTGGTTTCGGTTGTGAAAAATAAAAGGTATTGCTAGATTTATAATTCATCCAGGATCTACCCCAAGAAAGCAGTGTACCTAGTCGCGTAGTTGGAAGCTCCGTGAACGACGGTGCTCTGATCTTCGTGAAAAGCTCTATCCCACCTACTAAAGGGATTGCTCCAGTGTACTGCTCATCATCGGTGCGCGCCTTCAACCTAGAAGGAAGAACTCGAAAGTGAAAATTGCATAAAGTGGACAAGAAACACGTCAGTCATCAGCTGGGTGGCGTAATCGACGTTTTTAGCGTTCTGACGCGTTTTATCAGCCCTTATCAGTTGCTATCGCTTTCAGTCATGTCCCACCAATGTCCCGGTACCACTCCACATAACACTTGTAAGTATAGACGCATCAACAGACACACTTAGCCGATTATCTATAGTAGGGTAAGCCAGTCCTATACTATCTCACCACAAAATAGGAAGATTATCTCTCCGTAGATGTCTGGTTTTCGAGCCACCCTCATCTGTCCATCAACTGTCAAGAACAGCCATCTTTTCACTTTGTTATCGAGGAACATCCCTTTGTGAAATGCGCTTACAACAAACTCAAGGCCTTGTTCTTTTCGGAGTTATGGAACAGAGTTCCAGTGCTGTCTGCTCGTGTCGCTCAGAATACCGAACCCAATTTCTATCCTGGAAAGCCTTACCACTAGCATATAGAAACTTTAAATTTCACTGTTGACGAAGTCAAATCTCCATACCAGTTTCTGTGCAGTTTGGCAATTCGTTGGCTTTCTTTAGTTCTTCTTTTCTACAAGTACAGCTCTTCGCAAAAGGAGGCGACATTTGAAAGTTACGACCTAATATACAGGGTGGCCAGAAATTACGGTAACAAGAGCGTACCGTGTACAATTATATGAGTAAACGAAAGGGGTATTGAGTATAGCTTTTGCACATTTGATTCTATTGATACGATGTTCACTCTTAATTTTACCACTCGGATTCTACCTAGTTTGGATTGTTTAAGCCTTTGGCTCTTCATGAAATAACGACCCGCTTGCTTCTTCAACATGTCTGGTGGTGTTACGTTGCAAAGCGAATCAGGACCTTCAGTAAAGCTGCAACAACCACTATTGCGAAGAACAATTGGCTAGGTGCTAGAAGCGATTGGATTGCACGTGGGAGAGGAGCTTTTGCTGTTACAGAGAACAATGTTGAAAAAGTAGGCGCTGAGCAGCGATGGAATCTAGCACATTCAGCAGGTCATTTTTTCCCGTATTAGGGACCAGGTGCACTTCTTTGCATGTGATCGTCAGAAGACATCCCATCGGTGAGGCACATCAGCTTGGAACAGCTCAGCTCTCTAATGAGGCGAGCAAACTGAAGAGGAGTTGGAGCTAGACGGAGGCGTTGTCTCAGTTCATATTGACAACCTTTTTCGCTGATGAGGAAGTACTCACAGTCGAATTCGTCATGAATGGATAGAGTGACCGAGCCCAGAGATAATTACGTTTGGAAAGTTGCGACCTAGAGTTCCCAATTCAAATCTACTGGTTCACGCTACACGAAGAGTGGGGAAGACAAGCACCTGCCGCTGACATCATGGTGACGTTAAGGGATTGAAGGAACCGCTTCATAATGCCTGGAAGTGGTCGGGGCCGCTCATCAACACGCCGCTGTCAGTGTATTCCCTGGAAGACTTCGCGCTTTTTTCAAACCGGATAGGGGCTACTAGGAAGGACCATATAGTTTTACATTCATTACCCTTCAGTGGACACGTTCTTGTTGCCCACCCTCTGTGTCTAGTTGTACAGATTTCCTATGACCCCTCCATCTTGTTACCGTAATTTCTGGCCACCCTGTATTTGTAGCGACAACCCTCCAGTCTTTTCAGTAGCACTTCACTGCGCTTATGAAACCGTGAGATTCAGCCGAAATGGGCAGTCTATGCAGCGGACAGCAACCATTTAACGAAGCAGCTACAGTTTAGCGGTGAAACCTAACTCTCCACCGAGTGTCGGTTCTGTCGAAGTCTTCCGTGCCATGCGCGCGGTAGCATGTGGTGCGAAACTGGTTGATTATCTTGAACAAACCACTACCAAATTTTACGATATGGGGTTACTTTCCCAACATTTGAACGAATCATGCTCTTCTGAAGCGCTTATGCACCATTTGCTTCTGAGCAGAATTTCAACCTTCGAACACCTTTTCAGAATGCGAAAAAATGCGCTGAATATTTTCCCACAGAAGAGGGGACACCGCTCGAATTTGATGAGGTCAGCGTTGTTTTGAAGAAGCAAGAACAGGTAGGCGAAATTCTTCAGAACAAGCCTTTCATATTGCCCAGCTTTCATTGTTTTCCTTCTCTTCGTCACTTTTACCCTACTGGCCATGGTTTCTCCTTTCTTTTGGCTTTGAATCCACCATAGCGAATCGAGTGGTATGAACGACGTTTACACGATTCAATAGTGATTTGCTGGATTCCCCTTTCTGACAAAAAATGTTTGCAACAGTGAAGCCTCATTTTATACGATATCAGCAGCCGTTCTCAGACAGTTGGAAAAAAGTGATGAGACCACCGTTTTTTCAGTTCCCATTTCCATTCGACACAAAAGTGAAGGTTATGGTACGCCAACTAGAGGTAACCGTACCTGGACAGCCTGTGCATGTGTGTTCCCATTACCACTGGATGGATTGGCCGGATCGAGGTGTACCTGAGGCCGACTTAGCCCCTATAGCTCTACTTGCTAAGCTGAAAGAAAACACGTGAGTTCCCACACAAAACGATAATTAGTAGCCAAACTAAGTTATATCGTATTTCCGGACCATGGTATGAAACAGATTTGTTTATTCTTCAAAAAAAAACTAGGTTTATCTATGGTGTTTAGCGCGCCAATTATCGTCCACTGTTCCGCCGGTATTGGACGAACAGGATCTATAGTTCTCATTGAACATGCCATGGAACTGCTTCATCAGCCGGCTCCCTTGCTTGAAATCAAGGATTACCTAGTAGAGCTACGAAAGCAGAGGAACAATAGCATTCAGGTATGTACATGACTGAGATCACTTGAAATCCACTCTTCATTTCCGCCACGCAAATCCGACTAAAGAGGTGAATTCAAAGTAAAGCATTTGAGCAACATATTTCAGATTAAAAATGACATAAGGTGACCGTAAGCTACAGTAGGCGCTCCCTGTTCACAAAAATTTAGAAACTAAAGAGACAACACCACGATAACGATGGCCAGCTGACACACGCATATTTCACGAAACAAATGACGACGGCCTTCATGAAATGTGACAGTTTTCTGCCGGGGATTTGATTACCCGGTTAAAGTTGTGTGCTTTACCCTGCAACTATCATTTAGCAACTACCAACTATCCAATACTCATGAGCATTATGTGGAAGCCTTGTTTCGTGGAGTCTGTAGTGCAAACTCTCCTAGTCACTGGATACAAATAGTACCATAGTTGTGAATAGAGAATATTGGTTGATCCTTTATTTTCCGGACTGCTACACATATACGGCTGCTAAAGTCCTTGAAGGCAAAGGTCACGTATAGGCGACCAAACAAATCCCTTTCATCATCTCTGTGCGCGTTACACACTCTTGAAGACTTTACCTCGCTCGGAATCCTAAACGATGCGGCAATAGAGCCCCAGAGGATGTATTGTTCGCTATAGCCGCCTGGCAGGCGCTATGCCTGCCCACTTTCGGAAGTGGTGCGTGGTGGCTAACGTGGGAAATTAGCTGGGTTGATTGCCGTATCATCCGACGGCACAGAGCCAGCAATGGCCGGCATGTATGAAAAACTCGTTCGGACGTGTCTTCATCCCAATTTAGCCTCCTTCATTGCAAGAGGGGAAGGGCTTTCGTTTTGGACTTGTCAACGGTTTCTTTTCGTATTTTCTCCACTGTCGTTCCGTTTCGCATCTCTACACTCAGTTTTAAACACCATAATACCCCAAATTGAGCCGACCTGCCTTCAAAAGCGGCGATTACGATAGATCTCACAGGGGTTTAAAGGGGACGTGAGGGTCTCACTAGCACGCCAACGACGAAAAAAGCAAAAAAAAATCCGTGCCCTTTTTGCCCTTTCATTTTCGACCATGGATGAGCGACGATCGGACGTCATCATGACAACAAGCATAGTGTTTTGATTGATAAGGCAATACGTGGGCAAGTTGGAAGATACAGCCGCTAGAAGGTAAATGTCATAATATGAAAACCCAACAGCAAGTAGTCTATCCAGATCATCAAGAAAACTAGTGGGCGTCACGCCACTGGGGGCGGGGAGTCACGCGGGTCCTGCTCAGCAACCACAGCACCTTTCGCCTTGGGAGGGCCACACATCGTTACCTTGCCAGCAAGTAATTGCTCCGTGTGGCGCAGGTTCTCCCCCGATGCGAAAATTCCTTATGGCAATCGCTTCCTTTGAGGAGTCATTACAACTTAGCAAGATGGCTAGATTGACGTGGTATTGACGTCTGCAAATCCGATCAGTTAGCCAACTCATTCGCTCGCTCTCTGCCATGGCTATTATGGCGGTTTTGTGAGAAGCCCTTGAAGTGCTTATGTGATATGAGTTTCTCATCATGGGTCTCTTAAACGCGTACCCATTCAAAAACTTAGGCAGCGTACCGTAAGTGTCTTTCGGAGCGCTGTGAATCGCTGGTACAATCGATCTCATGATATCTCATTTCCACTTCAAACGCTCTTTGACTTCTATCAACGCTTTTCGCGACGTCGTTGAACATTTCCTAGTAATTGCCGGGTGTTTGAATGAGCACTTCAGATGCTGCAAGGCGACATTACTGAGACACTACAAGGCTGGGAATGTGGAGTTCGGATTTCACATACATTGAACTCGGAGCAGCTTCCTACACATTAAACATCGCCTTGTTCCACATGATTTCCCATCGTACATACCTTCGACTGGTTTCCCAACGTATGCAGTGACAGGTCATGAGTGCTGCTTGTCAACCAATTCCGTGAGCGGCACTGATTGGTCTGCAATTTGTCAGTAAATCTGCCAACCAAAGCTCATTCGAGACACTTCATCTTTGTTGTGGGTGGAATGCAACAGGAGCCGCAGGGTCAAGGCCCCCCTCCCCCCACTCCCCAGTAACAACTCCTCTCTGTGTACAGAAGGCATGTAAAGAGATGTGATTGCACTTGCAACGCGCTGTGTTTACCTTGGAGCACCTAATGTGTCGGGAGACCACGTTGAAAATTTAACGTGTACTCAAATGACTACTTTTTTTTCAAACCAGACGAATTTCTGATCCGAAAGAAGATTTGGAACTTTTCAAACGAGTACCTCCTAACAAGCGCTAAATGTGATGCTAATACGGAAATTAGCACACTGACGACATCGCGTGTTTTGGCTGTTTTAGCCTTGTAGGGTTTGCGATTTTCCATGCATGACCGCTTCAACTGTCATCTGTTGATTTTGGTGAGGTTCTGTAGGTAAAAAGTGTTGTGACTACAAGGACGTGCTGTGGCAACGGAAAAGCGAATTTTACTTGCTTTCGCCATGTTGGTTTCAAAATCTCTTTGACGCAGTTGTTCCAGGAAAAACATATATTTTGCTCGAATAGGTTGGCATTAACTCACATTACTTTTTTCTCTACTTCTTAAAGTTAATGAAAAAACCGGGAACTAACTAAACAGACATTTTATAGGGAGTGAAAAGCTTCTACAAAGTATATTCGACCACTATGTGAGCCACGTCACTTATTGTTACGCTATCGTACCGTCAACGGAATGAACACAAAAAATTTGGACGTCGAAAAAACATACATCGAAAAATTGGATGTGATGCGTTTGGCATACACACTTGTAACAATGGCCCACGTAGCCTGTAAATGGTGGCATGTATAGCTGCTGCGGAGCCGAATATGTTGATGTGGAAGTACCCTTTCTGGATGAACGACAAAAATTCTAGAAGCGCGAGTTTTCGTACTTGACAAACCATAACTTCGTTCAATTGCAACAATTGAGAAAGCTTTTTGAGGCATGGTAAACCATAAACTTTCCTCTACATAAAAAGGACAATTCAAATTTGTCATGAATAAGACTGCTGAATTATGGTGTGTTAAAATAAAAGCTTAGGAGCATCGCTTAGCATCTATATTGTTTCAGACCGAGCACCAGTATCTGTACATCCACCAAGTCCTGCTACTATACCTGAAGAAGACAAAGTATCTGGATGATAGTGTCACACCCTACTTGGACGCATTCACAAAAGATTACGTTGCTGCTACAAGAGGCTTTTAAGTGTAACCGTTGCATTACGAATGTGTCTCGACTTTCATTCATTATAAAATGACTATCATCGACGTGTTTTCCATCTGCCAAAATACGCTGCATAACAACAGGGTGCTAACTTAGGTTGGATGGGTACGAGTAGGGTCAACCGTGAGTTGCGCAGATTTCAAAACTTTTACGACCATCTTCCCTTTCAATGGATATTAGTGCAACCGCTGTCATAGCTATTCATGTCTTTTTACACATTTTTGTGCCCATCGTCGATGTATGAGCCGTCATCCACATGGAAAGAGGTGATGTGCAGTGGGAAGATAAAAGTCAAGTCCAGGATTTCTGGTCAAAATTAAGCCTGCAACTGAGAAAAGTGCAGTGTGCACAAGCAAGGAGTGTGTACACAAGTGTCGGAATTATTTTACAAGGGCGACGCGCTAAGGCCCTAGTGTGCGGCATTCATCCTGCCCAACACCATTGAGCCCGCTTACAAATCAATCTTATTTCGTTTCGCCGCAATAGAGATGAGGGCTTTATTTCGGTCTCTGTTGACGGTTTCTTCCCGTCTTTCCATGACTTGCCTTACACTTCTCATCTCCAATGCCTCTTACAAGCAATCAAAGCCACTACCTATGATATCGCGACACTGACGATATCACAGGACCTTCCACTGTTTTGGAAGGGCCTCCACGCGTTTTAGATATGCCGAAACACCTCAGACATTGCTGCTCCATCAACCTGTCATCACATGGTAGGATTCCTCTATCCGATTCATGATTTTTTTTTATCAAGCCCTGCCTTTTCGGAAAACTCGCTCACCACACGTGGACCTCCCTTGCTGAATGGCCCCATCATCGTACATCTATCCGTTTTTCCCGGTTCTCTGACTGTTGTGAGATCAGGACCGGAATTTTCGCCTTCGGTATTGCTCATTCCGGTGCATGCCACTCTCCCTGTGGGCGGAGCTCCGCTTACCTGGGGTGTGCTTTGCACTTTCCGGGCCTGTCCCACCCATCCCAACCCTGACCCGGTCTCTCCGGGTGGAATCAAATATCAATAAAATGTCAAGTATTCACGCCAACAACTACGCCGATATTCAATGCAGGAGCTATAATATTTAGGCTCTTTTCGGCGCTTCAGAACTTGATGTACTGACTTCAAACAGAGAGATTCCCTCGCTCGGTCGAAGAGGATTTGCAGAACAATCCAGGAAGTTCTTCCCCTCAAAAATTCGTATGTGGAGCTGGATACGGCTATTTTGTAAAAAGAAGTGACAACAAGCAAAAAAAAACAATCACCCAGCTCAATTCATCCAATTATCAAAACTTCTCTCGAGCACACTTTGAAGCACCCCGTTGGTAAAATACTAACGTGAAAAGTATGTGTTAACCATAGTCACCCTAATTACCTCAATGTCACATTGAGCAATATGCTCTGGCTAAAAATTTGTAGTTAAAAGTACGTATCCCAAAATATGGAGTGTCACCTACAACAGGTGACATGGTCCCACGCGGCAAAGACGGTGCCACACTGTCGCCCAAATGTTAATTTCTTTCAACCGAAAACCTTGCCCTTCAGCTGCCGAACTCACTTGTTTCAGCTACCTGAAGAAATATGGAGAGCTGAAGATCAAGAAAGAAATGGCGATATTGCTTGTTTGCCCTAACACATGCCTAGATCAAACAGGTGTGGCTATTGCACACGGATGCGAAAGTACTTGCGTGAAACGGCCAGCAACCAAGGAAAAGAAGAGAATCCGCCGAAAAAGCCCAAGTTGAAGGCTTGCTCACATTCGCAATGCGGCAGTGCTAGGCAATAAGGCACTGAGCGCGGTGAGTATGAGGTCAAATAGCGCCAGAATATATCCTGCCGGAGAATATAGAGCCAGTAAAGCTAGCATCTCTGCAAGGCGCTAGCGCTCTTGTGGGCGATTTTCACCCGCTGGAGTCCCACATTTGTTAACGCGCTGTTTAAGGGTCCATCTCGCAGAAATGTAATCCTTCATCTATTATGTGAGCAACCTCCTCCTGACCCTCATCAATGACGTGACTTCTACTTGAGTCGTGCCTAATGAAACCAAATTACTTCTCTACAGACAGAGCAGACGAAACGATATTTATGCATTGCCTGCAAGTTTCACCATACGTATCGAATCTATCGTGTTTCTCCGAACAAACAACATTTCAACAACAAATCGACAAGGAATTCAACAGACAACAGAATTCAAAAATACAGATGATTAAAGTAGAAAATTCTGAGCAGTAACAACTGAAAGGAAACTTCGCATGAAACTCGTTATTCCTCTACTGTATGGTGAGTTTTACTCTTCTTTTTCTTGCGTCCACCTTTGACATTTACCGTTTCAGTTTCCTCATTCCACCCATCCATATCTGTCTTCCTTTTCCTTGTCTCCACTGCCACCTCATCACATTCGTACTTCTTATGCATCTTCTTCTTCGGATTTTTGCTCTCACAATCCCCCTCACTGGGTATTCTCTCAAAGACCGCAACAAAAAAACCATTTGTCAATGTCTTAGCGGGATCAGCTCGGAGGCAGTCCTTCCCAAACTCATAGCTTTCTAGTCCTCTATGCTTCCAGACTGGCAGCACTGATGGAGCTAGTCGAAAATGTTGGCGTACGTAAGTGTCAAGCAGCACCTGTAAGTAGAATAATATTAGGTTGTCCTGAAAGTCTTTGGCCATTTCCATGTGTATGTTGTGAAATCTCCAGCGATAATTTTTGAACATCCATTGTAAAACGTGTGTGAACCCCAGTCAATGATCTCACCAGAGCGTCTCTGCCGTGGTATTTCGCAGCGATTATGGCTGAGAAAATCGACTTTGACAGAAAACATATTCGGCTACTCCTGATTCTGAAACCCGGAAAACGCGTCAATGGAAGCGATGCGGCAAGATCGTACGTCTACCAATGGGGCTTCAGAGTGTCTTTCACGACATGGCAAACATTTGGTTGCCGATGTCCAGGAACTCAAGAAAAAACCCCGGAGTCGGTTGGCTTTTTACCTTAAGTGACGAGTGTCTTCTGGAATTGTCTGAAAACAGTCTCTGGTGCAATAAATTCCAAGTTCTCTCATCTTGAAACCTCGGCATCTTCGTTGTTATTGTAATTGTTGATTGTTCTTCTGCCTTGAGGTTGTTAAGGTGGAAGATTTATTCTGGCCAACGTTTCGACCGTTCCGTCGTTTTCAAGGCCTGAACATGGCTCGAAGCTTAAGAAGTGCACACTACCCCATCAAACGCCTCATCCCTTCTAGCGTTTCTGACGTGCTGTCAGGGACGCACGGAAAATTCCAGAACACAAAAGCTCAGCTCACCTTGTTCCACCGCAAAGTGTAGCGAAATACTACACTCAGTTAGTAAACATTAGTAGCGAATGATGTTACTTTGCTGCCCTTATTCTGTATCAGTATATCGGACAAGCACGTTCGCTGATTATGCAAGAAACTCGCAATGTTGCATGAATGGCAAGAGATCATTTGTGATGGAGACACACTCATTTCGGTTATTCATTTCTGGATTTCTGGCTGAAATCCAAAATGCTTCCAATGCCTTCCTTGACGAAATCTCGGTCTCGTGAGCCAAAATCGTGCACCTAATGTTGAACTCATTACCATCATACTGTTCTACTCTGTGTTTTCCCAACGGTGTCAACGCATTACAGCGCCGTTTACCAGGTAAATGCTCTTCAATCTGCACTGATAGAACTCTCCCAGTTTCCCCTATGTATCTATGTTCAATTACATGCTTCACACTGAATCTGGTAAATTACGCCTGCTGAAGCGCAATCACCATTTCTCCCATTCGAACATGTAATACAATTCTCTGTTGGGCACTGCCTGTCGTAGAGTCTGTTCCTCACAATTTGGCGTTTGATGTTATCATTCGGGATGTTAACTAGAATAACATCATCGCTCAATTGTGCGCGAACAATACATCGTTGTATTGCAGCAGATACTTTATCAGAGATGAATGGCAAGCATAGAGGAACCTTATCTTGGCGTGCTGTGTTTCTGCTGCCAACGCGGGGTCTTCCACCATGATGTGATGCCGTATAGCCATTTGATCGAGCTATGCTTGAAGCTAACCGTTTTGATTCTTCACGTTCGGCTACATCGCTGCACATACTCATTGCTGTTTTGTACATGTTCTTGACAATAGCACGTTTCACAGCAGATGGATGTGCAGATGTAGCATGAATCAAGATGTTCTTTGAGCTTCTTTTCTGGTACCACTTCACGTGTACGACGCCGCTGGACACTTTAATTTGTGTGTTGAGATAGGGGAGCCAATCATTCTGTGGTTTTTCTCGTGTAAGCCTGATGTACGGTGACTGCTCATTCATTACGCGAAAACACTCATCCATTTCGGACTGTGTTGAAGTAATGATGAAACAGTCATCTATATACCTGCAGTACATCAATGGTAAGCGCTCTAATACTGGCTCTTCGATTCTGCTCATAAAGCAGACCGCAAGTACGGGAGCTAAGCGTTGACCCATGGCTAAACCTCTGACTTGGGAGTAATAAGAACCTGACCATTTGAAGATGTTGCAACCAAGACATTCCTTGATGAGAGTCATGATGCACGCTTTACCAAGTCCAAAAGTCTCAATATGCCTACCATGCCTATCCAACATTTCGGATAGCGCTTGTAGGGCTTGTTCATTTTGAACATTGGTATAGAGCGAGGTGACGTCGAATGACTCTATTACGCAACTTGAATCTAGACGCAAGTGACGCAATTGTTCCAGGAATTGGTTTGTGTTGGACAGGTGAGAGGGAACCTTGGTCAACAATTGGCTCACAATACAGTTTAGAAACCACGAAATTCTGTCAGTTGGTCCACCCACGCAACTTATGATTGGTCGTATTTTATAAGTGTCCGCTGACATTGACAGCAACTCGTTAGGCGCAAGTTTGTGGGTTTTCACCAAGCTGTAAAAGACAGGACAACTTGGAGAGTCAAGCCTGAGTCTGCGAAGGAACCTTTCGTCTAGACCTGCAGATTTGCCTTCCCTCATCCACATGTGATTGAGACGCCTGCATTGTGATGAAAATTCCTTGGCTGTCGCCCGGCGGGAAGTATTTGTATCCCGCAAGTGAATTTCCGTTATTTCACGATCCAATGACTGCGACATAACAACAAATTCACTTATCGCTAACAGAGACTCTTATTGCACCGTTTGATCTTAACTCGCGTATTTCTCTGAATCCCTGCCGCTGCTCGAATGTCAAGTTGGTGTAATGGTGCCGTCGATGTTGATTGAGAACGTTAAGCACGCTAGTTGATAAAATTTGCAATTTGACATCTACATCTGGCACAGGGTCAGGTTCTCTGTATAATGTACGCGGGAACGGTACAATTGGAAGAGATCTCTGATTCGCAACGGTTTGCGGGTCAGAGATCTCTTCCAATTCTGTCAAAGTCTCTGGTGCAATGCACACTAACAGACACAGTTTTACTGCAGTCATCATAACACAATAGCCATTCCTCAATAGCTTTTCAAAAAGAGGAGAAAATTATGGAAAAAGGGGATCTCGTGATGTGGGTGACAACCGCTATCAGAAGCCTTCAGATTTTGAATGAACATTTTGATTTACCGGCTGTATCTTGTTTACCCGACTACTTTGTTAGTGGGAGCAAGGAGTGGGTTCCCCACGTAAACAACACCCGCGAGCGCCACTGGCTCAGACGCCTACAACCAGAGATTCCGACGTCAACTCCAGCACTACAACTTGAGAGGCAACTTTCAGACTTTTTAAAGCTGCAAGCAATCCGTTTGCCGACAGCTCCTACCTACAAACTTCGCTGCTGTTGTAGTTCGATAATGTGGACAAGCGGAGTGGATCTCATGCACTATGCGTAGAAAACATTACAAAGATCACTTTATCCAAGCAACGCTCATCAAGGGATTTTGAAAAAGGGCCAGCAAAAGTCTCCAAGCTCCTTATGGGATGTCCTATCTCACCAGTTGTGTTCAGAGATCCGGCCCCAACAGAATATTATTTGCTTCTGTTGCTGTTGATTCAACTAAAAGAGGGAGAGCTTTATGTCCCGGACTACTCGAAAACGCATTCCCTCCAGTTTTTTGCCTTGAAAGCTCAGGACTTCTAGGCAAACAGCATCCACAAGTCACCTGCTGAAAGGCAATATGTTCACGATCACGATGGGGCATATGACTGTAATTTGCTGACTGGCCTAAAGAAGAAAAGTGGAATTGGAAAAAAAAATCGACGAATGGCCAAAGATTTTCAGGACAACCTAATATATGTGAGCTTGCTGAGAAACCTTCCGACATCTTTTCCGGAACATTTCATTCTATTACTGAAAGTGGCTACTCTGAGAGGGACCAAACGAGAAGCATGAACAGTGCAGTGCAATTCAGTGATTACTCTTCGCGATGGCATGACCCTCAAGCGGGTGTGTCTCAAGTGGTACGATTGGAAATTTTAGCACCTAATTAGTGCTGCGTCGCGACGAGGTGCGAAGTGACCTCAAATGTTGGCACCTAATTAGTGCTGCCTCGCGACTAGGCGCCAGCTACCTGTGGGCGAGACGCGCCGTACATGCCCATGACGGTGCAAAAGATAGGCGGAAGGGAGGAAGGTGATCTCAGACAAAATGTGATTATTCATTCATTATTATTGTTTTTCAATCTTCTGACTCCTGTGAACAAATCAAAGTAAGATTGATGTTCGTATTTATTATTATTACTCTTACTACTCTTATTATTATTATATATTATTATTACCTTTATAATGATTCTTCTATTATTAATGTTAGTAGTCCTCAACTCCTTAACACCCCACTTGCACCAGATACCTTTGAGTGGGCCGCTTAGCCAATTAGTGTTTAGGTAGTCGGCGAAATCTTCATACTTCTCATATGCGTCGTGATTGCGGGGCACAGGGGATTCTGCAGGGCTGGAACTTCCGTGGAAAGGAATGGCAAAGTTCGATAGTTTCTAAATTAATATCCTTTTGGACACGCATGGTTAGTATAGTAGTAATATCAACACATTGCGGACCGCCGTTGTATGAGCACCTTCGTAGCTTTTTTATATTTTTCAAAAACGTATCATCATTAATCTATCAACAGTTTCATCAGTGATGACACGTATGGTTTCCAGGCTCTGAAAATGAGTGCACCAGTCCATGAGCACTGAAAAATGACAAATAAATCAGATTAAACTATGATGTTTCGTGTGAAATCGTGCGCCACCATGTGGCGCACGCGGTACGCAATGTGTTAAATATGGACATCAATCTTATTCGATTTGCTCACAAGAATCAGCAGATTGAAAAGTAGTAATTATGAATGAATAATCACATTTTATCTGAAATCACCTTTTTCCTTTCCGAAATCGCTATTCGCCAATCTTTTGCACCGTTATGGACATGTACGGCGCGTCTCGCCCACAGGTAGCTGGCCTAGTCGCGAAGCAGCACTAATTAGATGCCAAAATTTGAGGTCACTTCGCACCTCGTCGCGACGCAGCACTAATTAGGTGCTGAAATTTCCAAGCGTACCACTTGAGACACACCCCTCTATGTTATCTCATCAGTTGGCGCCGCGTCCTACTGCGTGCACAACACAGTTCTGCGGCAAAGAATGATAAGGAGTGAATTAACAATTGAGCCCGATACACTACGAATACTTAACTTCTAAGACAGATTCTATCCGCTCGTCCCACGCTCCATACACCGATAGCTTTTACCCGCCCTCCCTCGTCAACCACTGTATGCTTTTTCTGGGCCCCCGGTTTGCCTCTGGACCGATTCGTCAAGCAGTCGTCCTCCTTCCTTTCGGCAACCTCTATACACCTTTCTCCCGTTCTTCAAGACTTCTCGGAACCCAGCAATGAGGACATGCAGCAAGCGCTGTCCACTTTATTGCACGCTCCAACGATTGTGCGAGGGCTATCGCTACTGGAAATAACTTAGACACTACTTCCCTACACCAATTTTATTTCTGCTCTGTAGGCTTTCCACTAACAGAGCTATGATTTTTTTCTTCATTAGGTGCTGTTTTTTTAGAGAACGCCCTCCGGAGGTGGGTCCCCTTAATTCGATCTGATCTACCATTGCATTCCTTCACCCTTTTTCCCCAGTCTCTAGGCTTTTTTGGAATCTAATTTGAAATCTTGGTCGTCAGTACCGCTCATTTTGATGCACGCCAAACCAATTGTGGGCGGGGCTCCGCTAGGCCGATTTGTGTTTTGTACTTCTCGAGACATGGCCCAGCCATACCACACTTATTGTTGGCCCGATCACTTCAACGGATTTCCAGGGGCTAGGGAATTTTGTGACAGAGATACAGAGCGACAGACGACTGGCAGAGCGCATGACTTTAAGGTGGTAAGGGCTTAGAAGTTGCAACGCTAGACACCTCAAATGACGGTGTACGCCCACCGTATACAAATACGTATTTCGTTCCCGCTGTGCTCACTCATCTTGACATTATCTCTATCGTTGCCTAGTGTTCCTTGAACTGATATCCGCCCAGCCCCTCCTATCGTTCGAAGGACTTATTTGAAGGATTTTGTGCAAATCCATTGTTTTTTCCCTCAACTTTTATGGTAGGTCAAAGAACACCTACTGTCTCATATTTTGACACCATACTTGTCATATTTCGGTTGTAGCAGAATGTGTCATAGTACAATACTATGTACTATACGTGGTTATTTCGTACCAAAATTTCAGACCTCGTCGACTACGCTCTCGTTCTCCTCTTCATGGATTGAACAAGTGGAGTACACGGCACGTTGCAAATTTGGGAACTTCAAAGCATGCTTCAAAATCATGGCCTAAACAAATGGTCGGAAATTATTGACTTCATAAATGAAACTAGAGCCAAATAATACCTGAAGATTCCTTAACTTCGCCAAACGTTCCGGTTGAGCGTTCCCTCCTGTCAGTTCATCCATCCGTTTCACCATTCCCGATCCAGAACAAGGTGGATCAACGATTGCGTGAGTCACCTGGATTAAGAAAAGTTCAATACACGGAATGGGTATCACATAAGAAAATAGAATGACTAAGTGCCACCAGGAAAGCTCAAAAACAACATTAAGAAAGCTCTCACCTTGGAAAACTTTTTATCGTTTACGTCAGTCTTCAGAAAATCTCCGTGAAAAACAGAAGCATTTTCAACTCCACACTCCTCCAATATTTTTGACATTGTTCCTACGCGTTCCTCTGATCGATCCATTGCCCAAATTTTACTAAAAACTTCGATGGATGATTGATTCGTTTGCCTGATGATTGATTTGAGTGAAAGTCGCAATTTGATGTGTGAGTTTTTCTTGGTTTTTGACAGGCCGGACGTTGGAAAATGTACATTCGTTTTTTGATACTATGAGGAAGCCATGCGAGATACCAATTAAGGTGTAGACGTTCTTCTGAAAATTGCGTCAATCGAACGCGATTATCACCTGCCTTATGCCTTTAAGCTCACTGAAGGAATTACCTACAGTAGCGGTCAAAAGTCTTCGCCGAAATGGTTTTTCGACTGTAACTTTTTTTCCGCCGAATCAAATCAATTCAAATTTCAATATGTTTTGAAGATAGTCCTACTTTACTTAAACGGCATATTTGTTTCGGATTGAGAAAGAATTAAGAATGGAACAAATCATTTCACTAGAAATTCTCGCGTATGAGCAAATTCCAAGTAGGTTTCAAATTACTCTAGCAAGCTTACAATTCAACAAAACAATCTTACGGATGATGAATAACACTGGACCGATCCAATAATTTGTTAATGATCTTCGGGGTTCGCTGAAATACTAACAAGGCCTGAGTAAGGAATCAGTCATTGGATGCACTGTCTACTAGGGCAGCTTCCTCCTCCACCAGTGGTCAAGCGAGGCGTGAGGAAAATTTGGAAATACGACCCCCCCCCCCACACCCTCCGCCGGAGGCCGAAGTCAGAAACAACCCTCATCAAAAGCCGAACTATGAAAAGCTTGGAAAAGCTTGTTTAATTTTCCCCAAAACTGCTCATAAAAAGCCCTGCTACCCCACGCCCACAGAAAAATTCGCTTGAGAAGGTCACAAAAATGTGAAAAAGTTAATAGAAGAATCTTAGTTGATGAGGTCTACCAACGAGCAAACGAGAAACAGACCAGAAACGAGAAACTAGCCACAAAAATGTCATACCATGACACATTGTCTTATTTATTTCGCACAAGACTTACCAAAATTCTAGTACTTACCAGTTTGTCGGTCCTCAATTTGTAGCTAGCCCTTCAGTTGAAATTCTGCTTCAACAGCCTTCGCCAACTGAGTGGTGACGTGGCTTTGGCATTGGCCGATGGGAGCCAGCTTATTACTATTTTGAAATTTGAACTAAATATTCAAATGATTATAACCTTTCTTCAAAATATGACGAATTTCAATCTGAAGTAGATTTGGACAGTTTTTTGCTGAGAGCTTTTTCTAAACCAGTATAGAAATTCTAGAAAAGTTATAAGACAATAACGAATTTAGATTTAATTAAACGAGGAAAATTCGAAGATGGCCACGAGTTTTTACACTTACGAAGAGAACAACTTGCTTTCATTTTCGTCAATTCGAAAAGTTGAACGTCATACAAAAACTAGAGATTTTCTCGACGGACCGTTTTGCTAAAGCAGGCTCTATAGTCAGTATTAAAAAATGGCCACGTGAGATTTCCGCAAAATTAACGAGGAAAATTTGTGATGAGGCGAGTTTTTTACTCCTAAAGCCATCAACTCGCGTTCAAATCATTCCATCCAAAAGTAAAATACGTCCCCATCATTAAACTAGAAGATTGTGACTTATCAAATCTTACTAGAACTGCCTCCATACGTCAGATATCAAAAAACGGCTTACTGTGAGGATTTTGCACGAGTACCGCCGAAAGGGCTACTTTTGCTTACAATGGCACTATTTCGACGGCCTGCATATTCCTTTTAAGGGCGATTATGTTCTAAAGTTAAGAGGCAGATTTTGAAATCACTGCTTTTCTTTTTCGTAAGTAAGTGAATGGGATCAGCGTTTCTCAACTTTGATAAACGTTACATGTTTGATAAAATTAACCCTGAAGAGCGGTTTACGCAGTGGAATGTCTACACCTCCCTGAAATTGCGCTACGGACGCTGCTTCGAATTCTCTCGATTTGCTCCTTTGAAGTTGAGGGTTGTTTGTCGAAGACCCATGGTTGAATCGACGGCGCGCAAACTAGTCCCTTTCTCGATGCGCCCGTGTACTCACATCCCTTTCAGATTCGGGGTCTACTTGAAATGAATGAAATATCTCTTGCGAAAAGCCGTTTCGCGAGATTTCAGATTTCTTCAGTGTTGTGTCGGTAATAAACGTAATTAGAATTACCGGAACGCCTCAGATTCACGAAAATTGTTTTGGTTGAAATATCATTGTTCATTGGGAACCTGTGTGGTGGACGCTCTATCCTTTGATATTTGGTCTTCCGACTGTGGGATGAGCCACTTGCATCAATAATTGCTCTGATCTCTTCCACCCAGCGGGCAATAACCCCCCCCCTCGTGAGACGTGTCGCAGGTATTCCTCAACGCAGGGCGCTGTGTCGGGGTGGGTGACCCGTCCTCTTTTCTAGATGGATTTTGACGGAGTTCTCGCCCACTCTTCTCCGCGTTCTAATTTCCACAAAGGTACCTACTCTTTCCCTAATGTCTCGATGGCGCTCGGGACATTTGGTGTGAATTTGTTTCCTTTCGTTAAAGGCGCGCACTGTGGCGAAGCCACTCCTTCACAGTGGAGGAGTGTGATGTTTTGGGGTCGCACTAATGCTAGAAGGCGAGGTCAGTCGCGGGTCAGCTGTCATACACGTGGATGAGGAGCTTCTTCTAGAACCCAACTTTATAGGCTGCCTTCACATGATTGTGAATACTGCCGAAGTCAGTCGGCGGTGAACTGGTCGGGGGCGAAATGTGCTTACGCACAGCCTAAAGTGGGGATCCCATAGGGCTACAACGTCCTGCGGACCAACGAGAGTGAATTCAAGATGTTTGCCGGCGACTGAAATAGGAATGTGTGCGGGTCCTGAGGAAAAACGTTTCGATCCAAGGAATCAAACTGCCGTATATGTTTAAAGCTTGGCGGAGGCTCACGTGGGTAGTCGTAAATGAAGTCTTACAATTGCACAGGATTAGAGAAGTGGTGAATGCCGACGTATCAGATAGATTCTAGAAAAGAGTTTCGTATCCGTTCGTATGAACTCGTACGTGACTGAGTTCGCCTTCTAGCTATAGAGCGACCAAAAGCATCATTACCCTCACTGTGAGGGAGTGGCTCGCCAGCATGGCGCGCTCTCAATGAAAGGAACAATTCACACCCATGTCCTGAGCGCCATCGAAACATTTATGGGAAAGTGTAGGGTAACCTTTGGTGGAAGTTAGCACCGGAAATATGGGCGCTAGAACTCGTCAAATTTTAAGAGAAGTGGATGAAGTTGCCTAGTGTAGACAGTGCATTTCAATGACTGATGTCTTACTCAGGCCCTTGTTAGTATTTCAGCGACCTCGAAGTCATTAAACAAATTATTGGATCGGCCACGTGTTACTTCATCGTAAGATTGTTTTCTTGAATTGTAAGCTTGCTAGAGTAATTTGAAACCTACTTGGAATTTGCTCATACGCGAGAATTTCTAGTGAAATGATTTGTTCCATTCTTAATTCTTTCTCAATCCGAAGCAAATATGCCGTTTAAGTAAAGTAGGACTATCTTCAAAACATATTGAAATTTGAATTGATTTGATTCGGCGGAAAAAAAGTTACAGTCGAAAAACCATTTCGGCGAAGACTTTTGACCGCTACTGTATTTAGGATAGCGACCAAGAGATATTAGGTTGTCCCATAATTAGTGAATCACTTTACATTTATTGCTATGAAAAATCCTAGAAAAATGGTAAAGGTGTGAAACATGTTTTGCGAAGTAGCACCCACATTATCCTACCGGAGCATTTAGTCAGCCCACTTATACGTTGCCTTACCTGGCTATTACATCAATTTTTCTAAAACCTATTTTTGAGCTTCCCTCTTCATCATTTCTTATTAGGATCTTTCAAACGCCAAACAACATTGTGGACCAACCAGCAGGTAGGCGAAGGCACGCTCGCTCAATCCACGGTGCACTTATGGATCGTTCTATTCCGGGGTTAAATTTATTATTTAAAGATGACCCGCACTCCAGGTACCCTTCGACCGGCAACCTCACTGTCCTAGCCAGCACCCCTGAGAATGGAAGTAGACAAACCAGTCGCTGTTTGCCAGAGCGTATCCAACTTGTTAAGATTACGGAATGTAGGCAACTCCGTAGAGTCGTGAAGAATTAAAAATATGGAATTTGTTACTTCGGTGCTTTGTGCTTGAATCAGCTCCGAACACGATCTATCATCGTCATAAGCCTTCTGATCTCCCTTAGTTCATCACAATGATCATCCAGCGCACTCACAAGGATTGTGGACTGAGTGAAGTGTGCTATAAAATGCACAAGGAACGGTCGCTTAATTTGAACGATTCCGGAGTTCTGACAGCAAAAGCTTAACCTCCTCTAAGTCCGACCCTTCCGAGATATTCGTGAAACACGAGAGGGACCTTGCGCTAGGAACCGCCGCCTAGTAATACTAGGATCACTGAAGAAGGTCAATGTCGACAGCTTTATGGCGATGCGTTAGAATTGAAAGCAAAGCAAGACAAAGTCTGCTTTTTTCCTGAGGTCGTTCGACCTCACCTACCAGGGAATATTCATAAAAAGTTGGAGACCCCCAGGCTAACAGTTCTTCCACCTCCGCCGTGTAGCCCTAATCTCTTGCCAACGAAAATTAACCCAGTCTGAGCTCTAGCCCTTTTCCCCAGGAAGAAATTTTGCGCAAAGTGACATGACCTCGAACCCCAGATCCGGTCTTTCTTCGCTCAAGAGCTCCTGCAAGTTACGAGGAGAGACAGCGAATAAATTCCCATGAATAGAAAATATGTTGTTGATGACAGAGGTGTATGTTTGGATAAGCAAGAACTTCGAATGAAAAAGAAAAAAAAATTCGAAATCAAAAATACTCAAAGTGATTCACTAATTATGGGACAACCTAATATAAGTGAAACGGATTGCTTATCAAAAACAATTTAGAGAGGGAAACAAAGAAGGAGGAGAATTCTGTTAGACGAAAGAAAATCATGGAATGGCAACGCTTATTCTGCTTATACATACTGCCTGCTATTATTGACTTCCGTGATCTGAGGCTTCGTTTTTGAGGCTCTGAAAGAAGCACACTCACCCTGTTCCTCCAAGGATAGCAGATACGTGGCTTGTTTTCATCCCGGGAGCCGCACAGGTGTCAAAAACGTGAGATCCTGGCGGTGGAGCAAGAAGGCAAGCGGGTAAGCAAGAAGCCTGAAACATTCAAGTTGGTTATTATTATATTTCACACTGCAAATTTCTTTGCATACCTTGTCTTGGAGAATAAGATAGCGCTGTTCCACGAGCCAATATCGATGAAACTCATTCGAGTGTGGGAAAATCAACAATCCCTCAATATGTGGATCAACGAGAACCTGTAAAAACGCAAGATGTAGGGTAGTACAGAAGCATAGTGATGAACAGAAGTACTGTGTGTGACCGAACGCATGGATTTTGATGAGAAGTGTCACACTCACTATCGCATGGTCTCTACAATATGCATTCAACAGAGGACTAAAGTAGCGAGATGAACGGCCAATGTTCGAGCCAATCGATCTTCCAAATCTAAGCCAGTGAAACTTCACCTGCATTTTATAGCTTTGTGAGGTTGAAAGGTGAATAAGGGAGGAGCTTACTTTAATGAACCATTTAAGTAGCATTTCGCTTGTCTAGCCTTCTCATGTTCATAACAAGGAAAACATCCGCACCCATAAAAATGCTCTGAATTATTGAATGCACATTCCACGATTGAACCATTGTACCGATCCCTCCTGATAATAGAGCTTATGAGTCCGCACCCGACGAGACAAGAATGTAACTTCAGCACTAGGGTAGGGCTACCGTAACCCATTTGGCGCGTTGTATAGAATGCATGCTCATATTACGCGTACCCTGGGGCCGGGTGCAGCAAGCCCCGACGAGGGGATGGGTACCCATCCCCAAAGTTGTGGATATGTCCCCAAGGTAGGGGATGCGTCCTCAAGGTTGTGGATGCGTCCCCAAGGTTGGGGATGCGTCCCCAAGGTTGGGGATGCGTCCCCAAGGTTGGGGACATATCCACAACTTTGGGGATGCGTCCCCAAGGTTGTGGATGCGTCCCCAAGGTTGGGGATGCGTCCCAAGGTTGGGGATGCGTCGCTTCACCGAGAGACCGCTCAAGAGTTTCGTCACAGGACCCATCGAAAAATGATGGGCCCTTGACGAAACCCTTGAGCGGTCTCTCGAGTGAGAGGACGCATCCCGAACCTTGGGGAGGCATCCCCAATCTTGGGGACACATCCCCAATCTTGGGGACACATCCCCAATCTTGGGGACACAT